GCTACTAAAAATCGCATAACTTTTTGTAGGATTGTCCAATTTTGATAATTTTTTCTTCATTAAAATTCTGTATTGAAGGGCTTTCTAATGATATAAAGCATTCTAGTGTTTATTCAATTTAAAATTTTCATGTAACATACCTATATATAGGTAATAAAACTATAATAGTATTATTATTTTTATAAAGCACTTATAACTTTAAAAGTTCATTCTTTGTTCAAACAACATTAGTAATTCCAAACTTTAATCAAAGTAAAAAAACATCTAAAAAAATAAAGTAGATAAACAAATATTGCTAAAAATTTCAGTGACTTTTACAAATACACTTAAGCAACTTTATAAAAACGTACTTTATAAAAAGTTTAGCAATATGAAAAACGTTACAAGCAGTCCGTAAAAAGGCACGGTAATTTTAAATTCAAGCAATAAAAACTTTTTATTGGTTGATTTTATTATTAAAGCGCGTTTTTATGGACCATTAGTAACGTTTTGCGTAATGCTAAACTATTTATAAAGAACGTTTTTATAAAGTTGTTTAAATTCTTTAATAAGTTTTAAATATTATTTAAATATCCACTCTTTTTTCCTAGATGCTTTTTTACTTCAATTAAAATTTAAAATTACTTATGTTGTTTGAACTAAGAAAGAATTACAAAAGTTATAAGTGCGTTATAAAAGTAATTACAGTGTTATTACATTTATAATGCAGTTAGTACTATTACTTTTGCAGTCGTAAGTTTACTATTTTATATTTTATAACTTTTTCCCTAACAAATTTAAGTTGACTCGCCCCTAGAAAACTAAGTACACGGTTTTGCGTAAACTAAAATTTTGAAGACCAGATAATTTTCCGGATTTTTCATTTCGCGATCGCTTAATTAAATTCTTGCCTCGAGAGAAAATTTTTGCTTTAATTTCTTAAACTAGAGCTAATATGCCATTTTTAATGTGATTTTTGAATTAAGCAGATGGAAATACATAAGAAATAACTAATTTTGGTTCCGATACAAAATCACTATTGGGCAGTGTTATTAAAGTCGACTAATTATTGAAGTCGCTATATTACTATATTATAACCGCTACAAATAAAAAAGTAAAATTTTTAGAGTTACACTTTTATAACGAATGTTTTTAAATGATAATTCATAGTTTCGAATAATCTTACGTATTTTGTATGTTAATTACTAAACGTATTTTGATAAAAATGTTTCTTATAATACGTATTGTGAAAACAATTCAATCTGAGGTAATAAAAAAAAGGGAATACCTAAAAAATATGTTATGAAGAATAGCTTTAAATACAAATTTATAAATCGCTTTTTAAAATAATTCTTTACAAAAAAAAATTTTTTATATAAATGTTGATAATAACACTTTATAAATAAAGTGTTATTATCAACATTTAGTGTAATTTGAATTTATTGTTAGCATTTATTTCATAATAAAACCCTAAAATTAACTAATTCGGACTTATTAAAATTAAAAAGAAATATAAGCACTAATAAAGAAACTTATTTTTTTAAGTAATTTGAGTACATTTTGTCATATATATATTAATTTATTCTTATGATTTTAAGCATTTAACGATACATACATTTCATGTCTAAGAAAGAAAAACAAAGAGTGTTCAAAAATATAAACATAATATAAAAGAGATATAAACAATTCATAACACGAACTCAGTTTTTAAGAAAATATTCATTCAGCTTTTAAAAAAATAAACATTAGAAATTAATATAAATAGCAAGCATCTCCTCAGTCATAAAGTCAATCTCACTTTGTTCTTCAGTCTATCATAAAGTCAACCTCACTTTGTTCTTCAGTCTATCATAAAGTCAACCTCACTTTGTTCTTCAGTCTATCATAAAGTCAACCTCACTTTGTTCTTCAGTCTATCATAAAGTCAACCTCACTTTGTTCTTCAGATACTATTTCACTGTCATAATCTGCTCGAATAGATTTTCTTGGTTCAATTATAAGTCCCTTTTTTTTTTGTAATTTTTTTCTAACATATTTCTCATCACCAACTCCGTTTTTCATCTCATTTAATATGTTTAAAAGACTCTGATCTAAAGCTTTACAAGGACAAGAGACATTTACTTGCTAACGTGCTATATACAGCATTAGGATTAATTGGATTAAATTTAAACCACAAACTTTAAATCCACAATCTAGTTTCAACAAACAAACTAGATTTGGTTATCCACAACAAAATAAGCTATAAGCTCATGTTATTGCGGATAAAATTTCCTGATATGTTAAACCTTTTTGAGGCTTGACTAGTAGACATTCCTTTATACATTTCAAAAGAACGGTGCTAGAATAAGTGTTGTAGTTACGTTTTCCAACATCATATTTGTTATATTTACTAGGCATTTTGCTTAAAACAAAAGTAAATATAAGTAACACCAATAATTTGTAATTGTGAAAATAAATGTGCAATTTATAAAACTTAATAAATTACAATTTATAGTTGATAGTCACACAATTATTACTTAAAAATATAGTTTTTATAATATATAAATATACTGAGGCAGTAGAAAGTAGGAAAGTTGTGGAAAAGGGAGAGAAGTGTGTAAAAATGAAGATTTGAAAACTATCCTAAAAAGTTAGCATCGCTGTACAAATAATAGCAAATAAACAACAAATTTATGTATAAGTCTTTAAGAAAATTAGAATTTTCTCAAGATTAATAAAGTAGAACTTTATACTCGTTTAAAACAGCGTCGTTTTTGCGGTGACAAATTTATAATCATATAATATTTGGGAATTTTAAAAAATTAATTAAAACAAAGTGTAAAATAATTCCACGATTTCATCGAGTACCAACTCTATACTGTCTAAATTTGATTTTTTTTTTTTATGACTGATATAACCGTTAGTTATCTTTTAGTTCATGTTTTCAATAAATTGTGATTTTTACCAAGTCTTGGGATTTTCTTTGTTGTTATTTTTCTAAGAGAATATTTATTCTGTTTATTTAATGTCTACTAATCATTATATTATAAATGTTTTAATAAAAATGCAGAGTTAAGAAAGCAGCGCGTATTCCTTTCTTGACCTAATGCATTTTTTTTTCTTTTTGCATGTAGGAGCGGCAAGTTTTTCATAGCCTATGGGAGGCAAAATTGTAAATTCGCCTCTGGTACTAACACCAACTAACTTGTGGTCCAGAGATATATTAGACTTTATATTGACTACGTAAAAAAATAAAATTTTTATTTCACACAGATATAAAACAATAGAAAAAGATATTGTAAAAATAAAACAGCAATATTATTTTAAGATAAAGAATTTGTTATAAAATGTTCAAAAGGCATCTTGTATGAATAAGTTTAAATATATTTATTTATCTTCTTTTTACGGAGAACATTTAACATGAATATTTATTTATATTTGTAATACTTCCAATCATCAGAAAAAATAAAGTTGAAAAACTGGGATAAAACACAATAAGTTGTTTTGATTCACATTAAATTTGAAAGAGTATGAGAATGTATGAATGATTAAATTTGAAAGAGTATGAGAATATAAGTATGAGAAGCTTTCGAAATGTCACCCCATGAAACAGGACCATAATATCTCATGGGTATGAATTTAGATGACGGCTAATATGTTTTTAACAAACTTTAGAAACCAGTGATGTATTGTAATCTAAAAAATGATGCTAATGCATTCCTTTTTGCTTTTATAATTTACAGGTTTTTAATTATCTTGAATTTTATAGAAAAAGCTCTGTATAAACTTTTTTGTTTTAAATATACTTCAATATAATTATATATTTGCAATATTTCGTTGACCATAGCGATCAGAATCATCAGGTGTAATAAAAACATTATAAAAATTGTAACCTCAAAAAAGAAAACATCACAGGTTTAAAAAAAAAAAATAGCTTTTACTAAATAATATAATGGCGTCAGTGAAAATTTTGACCAAAATGGTCTTTAAGTTCTCCTGTTTTTATTTATTGTATTTTCACCTTAAAATTCATATTGTTTTTTTATACTTTTGCTGATGCAAACGTGAAGATTTGAAGACTTTTGGGTTGCATTTCAAATCTTCACGTTTTATGTTTTTTCTCCATTTCTTTGTGTCTCTTTGCAGTAAAGAGCAGTAATAAAATCTTTTAAACTCATATTCTTGTTAAGCGATATTTATATATGTTGAGTTTGATAAAAAAGGCTGCGTATAAACTTTTTTTTTTTAAATATATATTTTGATATAAATATTTATTTACAATATTTTGCTAACAAAACTATTTTTATTTTACGCCTGTATTGTCTTCCTTTGTAACGGTTTAATTTATGTAATTTTTTTTACAATTTTTGTTAAGTTTTTATTACGCCTGATGATGCTGACCGCCATAGGTCAGCGAAATATTGCAAATATATAATAATATCATAAAATATTTAAAACAAAAAAGTTTATACGCAGTCTTTTCTATCAAATTCAACATATTTGAAAAACCTGTAAATTATAACAAAATTTTGATGTCTTTATCACCATCAGAAACATGCAATGCGCGTCATATATTTTTCAAATCGTTTACAAACACTAGAACATTATTTAAGATATGAATGTTTTAAACGTTTATGAACTTAACATTAACAAAAAATTTACATTTACATTTACATAAAACATTTTTATCTTAAATAATGTTCTAGTGTTTGTAAACGGTTTGAAAAATATATGACGCGCATTGCATGTTTCTGATGGTGATAAAGACATTGTAACTTACTTTTATCTGTACTTCTCCTGGCAATATTTACATAGTTTATATTGCTATGAGTAAATGAGTAGTATAATTGTTTTAAATTATTCTAATTTAAATAATTTCTTGCCTTATATAGGATTCCAATATTTTTTCCAACTTTTGTTGATATACAGGGTGGCCCAGAAGTCACTTTACATTTTAAAAATTAAATAACTTTTTCTTAAATGACTGTATTTAATTAATTCTTTTCTATTACAAAGCTTAGAGTGTGTAAGTTAGTTCTGACTTAGTCACGAAAGATAATGTCTCTTAAATAGCCTCCATTCTCGTCTTCACAAAGTCGAGCTCTTTCTAAGCTATTCTCCATAACACTTCTTAACATCTGAGGTTGTAGGGAAAGAATTTCCTGTCGTATGTTTGCCTTAATTTCTTGAATAGTTCGGGGCTTATTTGCATACACTTTGTCTTTAAAATATCCCCAAAGCCAAAAGTCCGGAGCGGTCAAATCAGGAGAACGTGGAGGCCATTCAAAATCGGAATTAAGAGAGATTATCCGATCCTGAAACATTGCAGTTAACAACTGCATTGTGGCTCTAGCAGTATGTGCAGTTGCTCCATCTTGTTGCCACCAATACCCTGCCATGTTTACTAACTGAGGTTGAACAAAATTCACTAGCATGTCTCGATATTTCTCAGCAGTTACAGTCACAGCATTTTCATTTTCATCTTCAAAGAAGAAGGGCCCAATAACCCTTTCTGATGTTACTCCACACCATGTTGTGACTTTAACCGGGTGCAATGGACTCGCATGAACTTGGCGTGGATTTTCGGAGCCCCAGAATCTGGTATTTTGCTTATTCACATGTCCATTCAAATGGAAATGAGCTTCATCTCCCATGATCAACTTGTGAATAAACTCATTGTCATTTCTTGCAGTTCTCTGAAACCTGACAGCATAATTTAGTCGTTTCTGAAAGTCTGCTGGTTTTAAAGATTGCACTAATTGAACCTTGTAAGGGTACATGTGCAAGTCTCTTTAAATGCGCTGCAGAGAACTCCGTGAGATGCCAAGTTCTTGAGAACGCCTTCGAGTGGATGTGGTTGGGTTCTCTTCAATGCTACGGCTCACAGCTTCAGTATTTTCACGTGTACGTACTGAACGACCTCGTCCACTTCTAGTCCTATCACTTACAGAGCCATGCTCTTGAAAACGCGTCACTAAGTTCCTTATTGCAGGCCTACTAAGGGGATGTCGAACATTAAAATGGCGCATATACGATCTTTGCGTTGCAACAATTGACCGTCCATTTTCAAAGTAAAATTCAATTATCTTCACTCGTTGTTCTGTTGTAAACTTATCCATGCCAAAAATTTCCAAGGATTATATTTTTTAATTCTGAAAAGAGAAAAAGAAATATATTAATAGAAAAAAAGTTATTTAATTTTCAAAATGTAAAGTGACTTCTGGGCCACCCTGTATAACACAGGTCTACAAAAAATTTATTGCTTTAAATTTGGCACTTGTTCTTACATAATTTTGATACGCTGAATTCAAATCTTCAGATTTTTATGAAAAAATTTTTTGCAATTAATGTTTTTTTATTTTGCAAAACATTAGAAATAGTTCTAAAATTCAGATTTGAAACTCATTTGTAAATGCTGGGATATATTTTTTTAGAATAAAAGTTGTTAACAAAACTAAAACAAAAACAGAAAAGAGATAAATATAAAATGGGAACTGTTTCAAATGAACATTTTATATATATCCAAGTCCTAGCAAAGTTATATTAGTTACAAAGTTCTCAACTTTTTATTGATTAATAACAAAATCATGTTTTCTTTAGTTTTAAAAAATATTGCAGAATATATTGTTTAATTACATCTGTTTAATCAGGAAGAAACTTTTGCTTATTGCTCTTTTGTTTATAAACTTTTCTTAAGTCTTCTCGCTTGATGCCTCAACAGTAGTCTGCCATCATATGTATGTTCCAACGTCCTTGGTAACGATCTTCGATTGTCTTAAAATCTTGATGGAATTGCTCTCCTTGCTCTTCATTCACATCTCCAAGATTTTCAGGAAACTGGTCAAGATGACTATTTATATAATGAAGTTTTATACTCAATTTGCATCCAAGATCACAAAAAGCATTTAATATTTTATCATATAAATCTGAATAGTTTTCTGTTTTTTTATTTCCAAGAAAGTTTTTTACAACAACCACAAATGACAACCAGGCCGCTTACTCTTTGATATTCATTGTTTTAATGAATTCTTTTATAAAGTAGCAGATTTGTGGCCCATCAAAAACTCCTGCCTTTTTTTTCTCTATTGACAAACCTGGTAATGATGTAACTATATACTGAAAACAATCACGATCAGTTTTCAGTGCTTTAAGAAATTGTTTCATGAATCCAAATTTATAAAATGGAGTGCTGGAAAAACGACTTTATTTTGACTAACAATAGGTTGATTCACAATATTGTGCATGCCCACAGTGAGAGTCTTGTGAATGAGCCGTACGTTTTGTATCCAGTGTTGATTTCATGCTCGAATGTGCCACATACACAGATAACATGGAAACTTCCTGTTGTGTTTGTGATATTTAATCAAGTTAAGCACCATTTTAATGTCATCGTAAGTTTCATATCACAAATGAACAGAATGACCAATTGGTACAGAACCAAAAATATTTCCATTGTGTAATATGACGCATTTGAGGCTTCGCTTTGAGCTATAGATAAAAAGTCTCCATTCTGTTGGATTATATACAGAAATACCCAACTGTAATAGAAAATCTGAAATATCATGACAGTAAACAAATAAATTGACAAAGGTTTCATCTCTTGTTCAATAGTAAGAAACTTTTGCAAAGCTATCGAGTTTTTTTCCTTTAAACGTGACGCTAATACTTCTGCTGCTTGCTTAGAAAGTCCTAAATTACGAACTAAGTCATTCAGTTCTATCTGAAACACTGAGTCATTCAGTTCTATCTGAAACACTGAGGCAAATTGAGTTGTTTAGCATTAGAAGTCTTTCTGGTAAAAATTCTTCTGTTTCTGTAGCGGACATGCTTTGTTCATCTTCTGATGAAAATAAACCTTTAAAAATTGGAAATAGAAACTCGTTAGAATGTTGAACTGGTCTAATAGCAGAAGGAATATTGGAATAAGCTATTTTTTGTCTCTTTATTTCGCCAATACCAGTAGTATCAACAAGCCAAAAAAACAGTCGTTAATGTGATTTAGGGGTTCCCTCCAAACCATGGAGACTCCAAAAGGTAAACTCTTTCTTTTTCCTTTTGTCCAATCTCGAAGACTTTCTTCACAAATATGGCACACAGTATGAGGAACCCACTTTTTGTCATGGTCGCCAAGCTTAATATTTATTTGCTAGTTTAAAAAAATTATATTTATATGCTATATGGATATTTATTTGCATATATATGCATTGTATTTATATGCCAAGATTTATATGCTTGTTTAACAAAATGAACAGTAATGTTTCTTCTTTGTTAAACAAGTCTATAGCAACCACAGATATAACAGAATAAGTTAGGATAATGCTTGCACTTATGTCGATTTGAAGAAGCCATTATTTTATATATTTGATTTCATAAAAACAATGACATGGTTACTTTTTTTATAACTATTGAATAAAGATGTCTGTGAAAATCATAATTTTTTAAAAATTACTAAATTGGTTTTTGCAAAAAAACTTGCCAACAAAAACGAACCTTATATCACGGTCGTTCAGACTTTCAAAATAAGTGGAAAGTTATTATACGCAAGGGCAGTAAAATTTGCTTATTACAAGAGTTTTAAGAATGGCTATGGATATGAAATATAAAAAACTTCTCATTGACAACGAGCAAATTGTTCTAATTTTATGGTCTTAAATATCCATAGCAACCACAGATATAACAGAATGAGTTAGGATAATGCTTGCACTTATGTCGATTTTAAGAAGCCATTATTTTATATATTTGATTTAATAAAAACAATGATATGGTTACTTTTTCTTATAACTATTGAATAAAAATGCCTATGAAAATCATAATTTTTCAAAAATTATTAAATTGGTTTTTGCAAAAAACTTGCCAACAAAAACGAACCTTATATTTGGATTCAGCGTTTAAAAATACATAAAAATCAGTTTAAATATATCATGCAACAGGAAAAAAGTTTTTTTTCGTAGACCTGTGTAATTGATATGAGTTTTCCATGACAGATTTTTATTAAGATAAATACTAAGGAACTTAATAATGGAATCTTCTTTAGTTTCTACTCTATTGATAAAAGCATAAGGCAAGATTTTTAACAAAAGGCGTTTTTTTGCTGAGGAGCGGAAAAAAAATCCGTTTTGTTTTATCAATATTTAAGGTTAATTTGTTGAATTTGAACCAAGTAAAAATTTGTATAAGTTCCTTATTCATACTTAAAAAAGATTGTTTATGTCTTTGTCCGATAAAAATAAATTAGTATTGTCAACAAACATAATGCTCATAAGATCCAAAGCTTTATTTAAATTAATATTATAGTATATATTAATGAATAATATAGTATATATCAATGAAAAAAAAAAGGATAGAACCCGGTAGAATACCTCATTTTATTTCAATTGATGTTTTATTTTAAGAATAAGAGAAAGCAATTCGTCACCATGGTAGACAAACTGCTTTTTATTTGACAAGTAGCTTTTGTATCATTTTATCAATTTACCACTTATTCCTTAGAATCCAAGATTTTTAAGTAAAATGTGGTGATTAACCGTGTTAATCACCACATTTTACTTAAAAATCTTTGATAAATCGATAAACACTAAGTGTATATTGTGATTTACCAAAAGAATTTGAAACTTCACGTGTAAACTGAACAATGGCTTGTTCAGTTGAACAATTTTTTTTAAAGCCAAATTGTTTTTATACAGTAAATTATTTGTAATCAAGTAGTTGTATGTTTTTTCATATATAAATTTTTTTAAGATTTTCAAAAACGTTGAGAGGACAGAAATATGGCGATAATTATAAACATTTGTTATTTCAGCGTCTTTGTGAATCAAGATAACTTTGACAATTTTTAGTTGATCAAGAAGAACTTTTTGTTGACACTTTAAAGACTTTAAAAATAATATCTTTCAAGTTTTCATTGAAATCTATAAATATGTTACCGCTAATTCCGTCCGCGCCGATTGCTTTGTTTTTGTTTAGAGATTACAATTGCTTTGTTTTTGTTTACAATTAAAGAGTTTGAAAGTGACTTCAACTCTTTCAAACTCTTTAATTGATAAATATAGCAATAAATCATGGTGAAAAAGTGAACTATTGGTAGATTTCAAAAAAATAATGAAAGAAATCTTAAAAGAAAGAACCCTATTAGCAAGTTTACTTTCGATATCAGTAAAGTATTTATTAAATTCATTCACTACTTCATTCGGTTCATATATACATATGTTGTTTATATTAATCATTTTTGGTAGGAAATTTGAGCTGGTTTTCTGTTTTCCTGTTATTTCTTATAATATTTTCCATAATTGTTTTAAGTCATATTTATATTTAGTAACTAGATTAGAGTAATAATTTTTCTTTCAAATTTTTACTAATTTTTTTCGAATAGAAGCTTGTAGCTTTTATACCTTTGTAGATTTGAATAGGATTCTGTTTTTAAGTAGGGGAGAGTGGGGCACCATGATACACTTTTGGTTTTTGCTTTGTAACTATTTTTATAAACGCATTTTTTTAAGCGATTAGTGCAATTTGCATATTAACATTATACCTTCAAAATAAAATTCTTAAATTTAACAAAGTAAAAGAAGTCAAACTTGTAAAAACTGATTGAGTAAAATTGGTGCCCCATAGACTGTACCAAGGTACCCCATGGGTGGGGTACCTTGATACAGCCTATGGGGCACCATGAAACAGGACAATTAAAAATTTTAAAATGCAGGGAAAAAACAAAAAGTTTATACAAAAAAAACAAACAATTTTTTCTAAGACTTATTATAAAATCAAGAATAGGAATCATGTT